ATAAGGAATCCTACTTCGCGGAATTTCATTTATCACGGTAGGGTCTAGAACCGATTAACCGCGATAAACGAGGGTTCACTGTATTTGTTGATTTCATATAATTCAGATATAATCTTTATCCTTTTGTAGCTGATTAATCTCATTCAGCATGTTTACAAGACTCATCTCTGCAGTATCAGGTAACAGAACTTCACTTCTCTTTATTGTGAGTAGTATTCCATTTTGTACACCACATTTTGTTTATCCATTCATCCGCTGATGGATTTTCTGGTTATTTTCACCCTTTAGCTATTGTAAAAAGCGTTCCAGGGGACATTGTCACACGCATTTCTGTTTAGGTTCCTGCCTTCATTTCTGTAGATATGCCTAGGAAGGAAGTTGCTGAGTTACATGGTAGCTCTATGTTCAATTTTTAGAGGAATGACCAAAATGTTTTTCACAGTGGTTGTAGCAGATTTACCAATGCAATGTGTCCTTCGATCTCGTGGCTGCTGCTTCTATGCGTATTGACTGTGAATCAGACAAAACCAAAGCTTTGGAAACTTAAATATTTTCTACATTGATCATGTTACCTGTAGTCATTATTAATCTGGCCTCCATCACTATATTGTGTTTCTGTCTTTTTTAGAATATCTTTTCTGTCTTTTTTAGATGCAAATAGAATCATACAGTTTACGACATTTTGAGACTAGCTTCCAACACTCGGCATAATGCTTTTGTGGTTCATCCAAGTTGTTGTATGTATCAGTAGTTCATTCCTTTATCGATGAGTAACAGATCATTGTGCAGCAAGAGTTTGTTCATCCATTTATCCACTGAAGGACATTTGGTTTTGTTTTTGTTTTTGTAAGGGGATGATTATACCTAGAGATGCTACATGTTTTTGTCTTGTTTTGTTTGCCTGCAGGTTTTTGTATGAACATAAGTTTTTATTTCCCTAGGGTAAATACTCAGACACAAAATTGCTCAGTCATATGGTAAATGTATGCTTAACTTCTTAAGAAACTGCCCTTTGTTATTTTACATTCCCATCAAAAAGTTATAAAATTTCTAGTTTGTTCACATCTTTATCAATACTGGCCATTGTTATTAATTTTTATTTGAGCAATTCTAATAAATGTGCAGTATTATTCCACCATGGTTCCAATGTCTATTTTCCTAATGGTTAATAGAGTTGAAAACAGTTTGTTGTGATCATCTTCTATCTCTGTATTCTCTTTGGTGAAGTGTCTGTTAAATTTTTAACCCATCTTATATTGGTAACTTGTGTATAATCAGAGCAATCTTTCAGAAATACAGATTTTAGCCTTTCATACCCCCTGTAAATCTTGTAAATGGTCTTTAATATTTCATTTGTAAATACTATTAAATACATTTTATAACTGTTCATGCTATCCTCAATATCTCTGCATTAGTTTTCTATAGCTTCATTAGAAATTCTCTCAAAAACCAGGGGATGCTCGCTCATTGTCATTGAGTCGATGTGGACACATAGTGACACTGTAGGAGAGGGTAGAACTGCCCCCGGGACTGTAACTCTTTATGGGAGTAAAAAGCCTCTCCTCCCTCCAAGGGCCTGGTGGTTTTGACCTGCTCTTTTCATCACCTAACTGGATAAGCCTGGAAAAGAAGGAAGCCCTATAATTTGTACTGCAGCTTTGTCTCAATTGCTTTAAAATGGATTTTCTGTTTTTCGTAAGCTAATTTTAGCACAAGGCTAAAATTCAACTATACTATTTAAATTAACTGTCTCTGAATGGTTTGCTGTGATTGAAACACATAAAGAGAAAGATTGAAAATAAGTGCATAATTTTCTTAGTTGTTCCTTTCTTTCTCCATGTCTCAGAATCTGCATTCTCTAATATTCTAATTTAATATTATGGTAAATTCAGAGGGGAGAAACTGCCAATTTTACAGGTTTTGAAAACCCATTACTTGCTGTGAAAATCAAGGCCTGTGTGACCAGCATGTGTTTCTAGCTTCCCCAACAATTCTCTCATAATGTGTATTGGGCTTTCAGTTACATAACTAAAGAACAGGTTGTTTTCTGAACTGGCTCAAGTGCTTTCTTCCATTTGGAAAGCATCTTCGGGTCCCAGTGACCTTAGCCTTTAAATCATTTCATCATAATTATATTTCTTATAGATTTTGAAAGAGTGATAGAAACAAATCATCTTGTCTGTAATTCTGAGCAGACTAAATATATGAGCTATTTTTTAAGTAACCAAAAGCTGTTATAATTGACCAAAGATGATGATAGGACATTGATGCCCTTGAAAGAACAGCATTTTCTGTGTCAATGAAATAAGTATGCCTTAGCTTTAGAAAAAAAATATCATTAAGTACACATGTGATATACAATTCAACACAGGTACTTCAATGCTGTTACTTATTCTCGCCATTGTTGTCTACATTGAGAATTGGGCTAATATGGTTTAATTGCATTTTAATTTTCTGACCACATAGTGTTTACTTGATATTTTACTAAAATAACTTATTAAATGATATTTTAGAAAATCTTTTACACTTCTGAGACGGAAATTATTTTCTTTCTCCTTTCTGAGGGACCTTGTTAAGAGCAACAATGAAGTGGTTGTCTTTAGCTTCAGAACTGGAATAAAAATGTTAGTTTTATATTAGCTTATTTTCTAATACTTCTCATTAGTGAGGACCTTTGATTTGGGGGAAAGCATGTTATGGGATTGAATGAACTTGAACTTCCAGAGACTGTCCTGGTAAAAAGAGGAACCTTAAGGTTCACTAGCATGAAAACTAAATCCACCATGATAAATAATCTTCTGAAAATGAGGTTTAAAAAATAAATTTCTTTTACAGGATCTTGCAAGACTTGGTAATCAAATAATAGATAAAATAATAAGGAAATGGGGGAAGAACTCTTGCCAGGAGCAGTAATAATTTTCTAAGCACAGAATAGTGTATGAATGACACTGGAGTCTCAAAGAAGACTTTGGAGTTACTATTATCTGAAACAATGTGGGTGGCATTACTATTTATCATGTTATATAAATAATCTTAGCTTTCTTTTCTAATTGGTTTTAAACCTAGTACTATTCTTTCTGACTCGTGTAGGGTTATCTAATTCCTCCAAATGGGAAAACAATTTATTCAATTCAAGGACTATTCACCTAATAGAAGGAATAAAAATGAATGCATTAGTTAGGATGTGGATAGCATCAATTCTTGTAACTAAGAGATTCAAAGTAACAGAGGCTAAAACAAGATAGAAAATTGTTTGTTTGTTTTTTTCTTATGGAGTCTGAACTGGAACTCCGGTGGTATGGTAGTGCCACTTTCATCAGGGGCTTGGAATCCTTCTGTTGTGTTACTCTACTCACCTCAACACACGGCTCCTTCTCATTATATCACCATCATATCTGCATTTCAGAGAGCAGAAAGACGAAAAATGAAAAGAAAGGTTTACAACCTCTTTACTCACATTTCAGTGACTACACCTCAATCGAATGGCAACACTTAGTTTCAGGGGAAGCTGGGAAATGTAGTTTTAGCTGGATACCATATAAGGAGAGAATGCTGCCATTTGCTACCGCATGAGTATTTATATACTCAGATTTTTGCCCTTAATGAGCTTAAAATATCCTAGCAAATATAACAAAGAAAATATACTTAGTTACCTATAATCCAAGCAGGAAAATAAATATGAAATTGGAGTTGCACGAAACACTTGATTAAAGAAAAATGTGAAATTAGAATTGCATGAAACACTACTTATTAAAGAAAAAATACTTGGTTATAATATAAATGCTTATAATTTGGGAACCTGATAAAACATCTCGGAATAAAAACCCAACAAGATGTTAAAACTGTGTTTAGATAAAGAAAGGAATTCCTCACTAAAAGAAACATTAAAAAATAGAAAATAAGATTTAAGAGATATTGATTATCTGGTGGATAAGAATTCTCTCAAAGTATATCCACCTCCCACCACTCAAATGGTTCCAGGAGAGAATGCTGCCAGTTGCTACTGCATGAGTATTTATATACTCAGATTTATATACTCAGATTTATATACTCAATATTTATACCATCAGATGTGTGCTACTAGTTGAAGGTAATGAAGTAAAGAAAATTATGAGGACCAACCCATCTTAAATCCTTCAAAAGTTCTAATGCTTTCTAAGAAAGACTAATTCTCTTTATCAGATGTTTCACCAATCTTACTGAACAGGATTTTTGATTTCTCTTTCTCTTTCTTCTCCCTTTCAGAGTGCTTTTCAGGAAATAATGATCACTTTTTGGAAATTCATCAGAAGAAGAGTGGGAAGCCAGTGTTCATTTATCACCATTCACCAGGTCTTGAGAAGAGCCTGGAGATAGCACCTCAAAAGATTTATAAACACAACTACCATTCCTCTCCCCAAGCTCAAATAAGCAAACATCACCAAATTGTTAATTCAGCATTCCCTAGACCTGCGTATGACCCGTCTCTCAATCTGTTGGCCGTGGATGGTCAGGATCTTGAAGTGGAGAACCTTCCGATCCCAGCAGCAAATGTAATTGTGGTGGTAAGTTGAATTTCTTTGGTACTGGTACTGAGACATTCTCTGGGGCCAATGTTTAAAAAAACTAATGATGAATCATTATCCTTGGATCTCAGTGGTTATTTTATTGTACATTTGATTCTTTTGAAATTTAAGGTCAATGAGATCAGAGATGTTTTATCCTTTTTTGCATAGCTCATTATATGCATAATAAGTGCTTAATAAATCTTTGAGTAAAAAAAATTACTTTAGGAAGGACTTACATCTAAGCAGACCCTATCTTATACTGAGTCTCTTGCCTTCTGTGATAATCTATTCTAAGCAGACATACTTTTGTGTCAGCCTACATAAATAATAATTAATAATTTTGAAGATCTTTTGGTAACTTGCAGACAATTGGAAGGAAAAGGATGGTATAGGCTAGGAAATAGTTTTGGGTCATTGAAATAAATGTGATAATTTAGGAGGAATCAAGGGATAATATTCTGGGAATGGCTGCACAAGTATCACCTGTTATTAACCAAAGAGATCTAATAGTCTTATTATTTATATTTTCTGGGTCTGTAACCTGGTCTACATTTTTTCAATGTTTGAGGTACAATAATTTAAATATATACTAAAGTTGACACCTTATTGGGGCATATAGTACCTCTTACATTTAAAATGGTAACCAAAGGATCTATATTAAAACCCCAGATCAGTTGCTAAATGTTTATTATTGTGTTTCTGCCAAAAATATGATCAAATTAATTGAATTTTAGGGTCATGATGATGAGTGAAGCCATTTTTTGCCTTCTGGACACCTCTTTTCCCAAATGTAATTCATTATAACAAGTTTCTTTTGCTTCTCTTTATTTTTCAATCTACTGTCTAGGACAGTTTACTTGGCATTGAGAATCCAAGAAGCATGCGTTGATGTTTGCAAATAGCCCACATTGAGTACTTACTGTGAGCTGAGTATCTGGGTACTGAGGGAATCTGGAAACAGAAGCAAATGAAATGGGGTTTCTGGCTTTGTTTGGAAAATGTCTGGTAGGAAATGTCAATTACCCAATGAAAATCATGAACTGAGAGCCCAAAATGAGCTATTGCGAAGGGTAAATATGTAGGTGATTTGACCTCCTGAAATACTTGAACAGTTTCTATGTGTTTGTATGAGGAAAAGTTGTTCTGAAGGTCAGTGTCATGTACTCTATCAATTCCGTGAAGATACACTATGTTAACAATGTTATTGTATCTGGATATGTCTGTGTCAATGCTAGGGCTCATGGGAAAATTTTTTCTCTAAAAACTCATATATCCATATTCATCAATTAAAGTTACTGTCAATTACAGTTCAAAAAGTTTGTTCTAGCTTGTAATTCCATGTAATCTATCCAAACCAAACTCACTGCTATCAAATCAACTCCGACTCCTGGCGACCCTATAAGACAAGGTGGAAATGCCCAGGTGAATCTCCAAGACTGGGAGTAGAATGCCGGTTTCTCTTCTAGTGTTTGAGCGGCTAATGCTTTCAAACTGCTCACCTTGTGGTTGGCAGCCAGCTTATGACCACTATATCACCAGAGTTCCGTGTCGCCCTACAGTTAATCTAATAAGATTGAGGATAACTAGAGCAACTGAAGGGATTTGATGGACTAATTGGTATATGTTTCTGTGGATAGGGTGCACAAGTATCAAATTTATATGCATAAACACACACACGCACTATAAGTGGCCACCAGATACCATAAGTGTTAGAACAGACCTGTTCTCCAAAAGTTTTCAATAAGTGATTCAGAAATATATGGTCAGACCTCTCTTCTAACATAATTTGAGTGAACTTGAACGTCCAAACTTTCAGTTAGTATCTGAAACACACTGGAATATATACAAGGAGGTTTTGAAAAGTTTATTGAAAAAATATATGACCATTCGATTTTTTCACAAACGTTTTGAAAAACATATATAATATGTATTTTTTTATCAAATATCAATTACTGCAAACCTTGTTGCTTGGGGAATATTGCCATGGTACTAAAGAATTTTTATGTCGTTGAGTTCATACCAAAGTGAACTGTGTCGATGAGAATTTGAGCCCTGGCATGGAGTGTTGTGAGAGGGGCTGCTATCCACAAGGCCACCAGTTGGCAACCACCAGTCCCTCTGCAGGACAAAGCCTGGGCTGCTTCTCCCCTAACAGTCACCCTCTCAGAAACTTGCCCGACGGGGTCACCGTGAGCCTGCATGGCAGTGAGTTGGAAAGTGAGGAAATCAGGATTTTGTTTTTCCGCCAGTACAAAGCCATACCCAACATCCAAACCATCTATGTAACTTTGAAGGCTCCTTAACTCAGAGGAGAAAAAAGTCTCTCTCTCTCTCTCTGTCTGTCTCTCTTTCTCATTTCTGATGCACTAAGAGGAAAATTTCAGAATGAGAAATTTAACAGGAACATAAAAGATATAAAGGGACTTTTAAAAGTTTGTGGAAATTTTTAATTAAGAGATAATGGAATTTTTCCACTTCCATTTTGCAGCCCCCCTCATATGTGCATTTATCTTCCCAATGGCCACCACAAAGGACTTCATAAAAACATTTATCCACAAATGAAATTACCCACCCTTTTCCTTACTTTATAATCGGGAAAAACCGGTAGCTTGTTTGTCCCAAGGAAAGGGCAGCACAATTACATTGTTTCTACCAAAGCATGCTAATTGTATTCCAGATGCTCAATTAAGAAGCTGCTACTAGGATTTTTGTACAAACAAGTATCATGAGAAGGATTGAGTGGGCTCAGGTCAGTGCTATGGCACAAGTATGAAACAAAAAGACAGGCTCCAGGGTTCTCTTCACTGGGACCCCTGGGTAGTCACTGGGTCACCACAGTGGGGAGGGAGCCCAGGGGTGTGAAGGAAAGTGGTGATGTGGGAGCAGCTAGAGACCAGAGTGAAGACATTGTTTGGAAAGGGCCTTGGCATGCAGAGGAGGGTTTTAAATCCAGGGCAATGAAGAAGACATGGCTAGATTAAGAAGGGAAATTATGCCCCATTCCACAGTTTGCATTTGGAGCAAGGAATAAAGGAGTGATAAGGGTGAGAAAGGTAGAGGAAAAGAAAAGAAAGGAAGGAGAGAGGGAAGGAGAGACAGAGGAAGGAGCATCGTGGCAATTCTTAGGACAAGGAAAAGATTCTGCGAGCTCATAAGCAGAAAGCAGGCAATGTTCGGGAGTCTAGCCTGGTCTCCTGAGGCTGTTATAGGCCAGCAGTGTATTGCCTTGCTCACTACTCACTCACACAGGCAGCAAGCAGACATTATCGGCTTTGTAAATATTTTCATCAGGGATTTTATTTAGAAGTCTATTAAAGTTAGATGTTCCATATAATTCTGGGTTTTAATTATGGCCTAAACTCTGTTGCATACCTCACCTGGACTTGATTCTAATGTGAATCAGTTTTGAGTTTCATTTTTCACATAAAGAGATTATCCCTACATTCAACTGAAAGGGCTTTGAAATTGCAGCCTTATCATTGTAAATACAAATAGTAAATACGTTTTGTAGTGTTTAGGGTAAATAGTTGTGTAGTACTTGTTCTGTAGGAACATTGGTAGTACTGTAATTGTGTCCCAGCAGCATGTACCAGACAATGGGAAATCTCAACCCACAGAGCCATAGTACCTCTGAGCAGCCATGGAGACTCTACCTCAGCATTGGCACGAACACATCAATTACTCTTTAAACAACCCCATGTTTAGTACCAGATAGTATACACTGCCTATTAGAATTTCTCATTTAATTTTCCTCTAGCAGTTGCTTTCAAAAGCAATTGGAAAATTACGCCTACATTACAGAAATGAGAGAGTTTTAGTGAAGTCAAATGACTTGTGTAAGATTAGTATTTGGAAGATATGGGTTTGATGATAGAAACACAGCTAGAGATCACAATACAGTTTTGCCGGATCAATTCCTTCTTCACTGCAAATACTTGTTTTCAACAGCATCAAAGGCGACTATTCACATGGATGTCTCCAAATGGAATACACAGGAATTAATTGATTACATCGGTGAGAAGGACTGATGGAGGAAGTTCAATATTATCATCCAAAATGAAGACCAGGCCCGACTATGCAACAGGATATTAATTGCTTACATGTAAATTCAGGAGCCTTGGTGCATAGTGCTTATGAGATGGACTGTGATTCCCAAGGTCCACAGTTTGAAACCACCAGCCTCTCAGCTGGAGGAAGACTGGCCCTTCTCCTATAAAGAGTCATAGTCTCAGAAACTCACAGGGGGCAGTTTACCTGTCCTACGGGGTTGTTGTGAGTCAGCATCAACTTGATGGCAATGAGTTTGTTTTTTGTTTGTTTTATATGCAAATTCTGATTGAAGTTGAAGAAAATGAAACAATTCCACAAGAGCCAAAATATGATCTTGAGTATATCCCATGTGAATTTTGAGTACATCTCAAGAGCAAATTTGATGCACTCAACACTAATGACAGGTGACTTGATAAGCTATAGGGTAACATCAAGATTGTTACATGAAGAAAGTAAATCAAGCTTAAACTCCAAGCCTGCTGCCATTGAATCAATTCTGACTTGTAGCATCCCTATAGGGCAGGTAGAACTCTACATCTTTATGGGAGTGGAGAACCTAATCTTTCTTCCTTGAAGACACTGGTGGTGTCCAACTACTAACCCACTGTGCCATTAGGGCTCCTTTAAAGAAGGCAAAAGGTCATTAAAAAGACAAGACAGAAAGAAATGATCAAAGTGGATGTCGGAAGAAACTCTGAAGCATGTTCTTGAACGTAGAGTAGCTAAAGCAAATGGGGGGAAATGCTGAAGTAAAAGTGCCAAACAGGAAATTTCAAAGAGCAGCGCGAGAAGTCAAAGCAAAGTGTAAAAAGGAAATGTGTAAATACTTGGGGTTAGAAAGCCAAGAAAGAGTATGTTCAGCATATTTAAAGCTGAAAGAACTGGAGGGGAAAAATCCAAGCCTTGAGTTGAAATACTAAAGGATTCTCCGGGCAAAATACAGAGCC